GGGGAAAATCCTCTCCTCTCCCACACAGCAGCAGAACAAAGTAGGACTCAGGAGACCCTGTATCAGGCTGGGGGAAGCCCTTGTTCCACACCCAGCTGTGGAGGCAGGCACCTGGCAGGAGTGGACCCTCTATCCCCCACCTCCCAGCTTCATCCTACTCACCCCATATCCAGCCAGCTAGGCAAAGCCTTGGGTGGGATGCTATAGTTGGGGCTTGTTCTGCTTTGAGCAGGGGTTAGACTAGATAAACTCCTGAGGTCCCTTCCAACCCTAAATTTCTCTGATTCTATTATTTCAGTATTTTGCATGGTGCAAGCTAAAAGAATGAGCAAGAGCAGTGTGAAGATGCCCTATGTAGCAAAGAAAATTTCTCCCATGGACCAAGTGAAGCAGTTTCCTGCAGGTACTCTTCATACAGATGGTAGCCCCATGGCAGGTTCCCTCAGCCAGAGGTGTGGGAGAACCCACCCTGAAAAACATCTGAAATTGGTTTCAGAGAGCCCATAGGGAGCTTGCTTTCCTCACTACTGGAGCCTGAATTACAGTGGTCCCTAGTTATACAAGATGGTCATCTGTGGTAACAAGAGACCAAATTCATTAACCGTGGGCGACTGGTGCCTCCTGAGTCTGGGGGGGGAGCACCAAATTGCCAACTGGGGGGTTTCCCCCCATGGCCGATTGCTGACCTGTGGGGAAGAGTCTCTCAAAGGCTGATCGCCAAGCCAGCAGCAAAACCAGAAGTGCACTTCTGCCAGCACTTCCAGTTTCATGGCTGGCACTTCCAGCGGGTGCACAGATAATCTCAAGATTGACAATGCATTGCCAATGTCGATACCCCAGGAGGTACGCTTCCAATCCTGTATGCCAGGCTCCTCAAAGCAAATCTAGACTTTCATTTAAATTAAAACGTAATTAAGAAAATAAGTATTCAATAACACAAATGAACTAACCTAAACATTAGATGTTTCTGCTCTTTCCCCATTTGTTACAACCTTTCAATTTAGTGTTCCTTTTAGCTAGTTGACATTCTCATTTCCAAAATGGCCCATTGCATCTCATGTGGACAATCAAGATCAAAATATAATGTGTCCCAAGAATCATACCAACAGATTATATAAGACCAGGGGAGGAATTAATATTTTTAGTCTTTTTATTTTATTTTTTAATAGTGCTCACAGTAGTAACTGAGTCCCTCTGACTCCGTTATGTGAAAGACCTTTATGCATGCACACAAAACAAAGTTTTTGGTGTATGTGATGTCACACATACCTTGGAGATTCAAATGACAAAACTGAAGTCTAAGTTAGTATTTTAACAGCATGAGCCCTTTTCTTGCTTTACTACATTGAAAAAAATCAAAGGAAAATGCGGGGAAAGCATGCATAGAATCCTGACACCAAACCATACAAGAAAAATCTATCAATCAAATATTCTAAATTTTGGTCTGTTTTCAAATATTACAAGGGCAGCAGGCATTATCCTGGGAGGCAAAGGTTCAAGTATAATTGGGTATAACAGAACCCTGTGTTCAACCTTTCTGTAAACTGGGAACAGAATGCAGCAGTATCAGATTACTCAATCTGACATTTGTTTCCCAAAACACTTTTTTATCCATTTCCTGAGCCCAAGACAACCGACTTTATGCAAGCAAATTCTTTCTTAAGATTGAATGCCTGTGATACTGATGACTTTCTAGAAAATAGTTCTACATGGAGATTTCATGACTTCAGATCGGAAAACTATCCAGCACATCTACTGGCTGGGAAGTGATCCTCCTAGCAGCACAGAAGCAGAAAGGGATCTTGAGAGTCATAGTGGACTCCAAGACGAACATGAGTCATCAGTGTGACAAAGTCATCAGCAAAGCTAACCGCACTTTATCATGCATCAGCAGATGCATGACAAATAGATCCAAGGAGGCGATACTTCCCCTCTATGCGGCATTGGTCACACCACAGTTGGAGTACCGCATTCAGTTTTGGGTGCCACACTTCAAGAAGGATGTTGATAGACTCGAGAGGGTCCAGAGGAGGGCCACTCATATGGTTAGGGGCTTACAGGACAAGAGGAAACACTGAGGGACCTGGACCTCTTCAGCCTTCGTAAGAGAAAGCTGAGAGGTGATCCTGTGGCCACCTACAAATTCATTAGGGGGACACAGCAAGGGATCGGAGATGCTCTGTTCACCAGGGCACTTCTTGGGGTAACAAGGAACAATGGTCACAAACTGACAGAGAGCAGATTTAGGCTAGATATCAGGAAGACCTTCTTCATGGTAAGGGTGGCCAAAATTTGGAATGGACTTCCAAGGGAGGTGGTGCTCTCTCCTACCATGCAGGTCTTTAAGACAAGGCTGGACAGGAGTCAGACTCGATGATTTGGTGAGGTCCCTTCTGGCCCTAGCATCTATGAAAGTGTCAAATCAATGTGCCAATTCCTGGGTCTTTCTGATTCCTGGTGCAGGACTACTCCCAAAGGTCAAGTAGTTCATGGAGAAGCCATGACAAAGGATGAGCAGATGTCAAGCCACCTCAGTATTGTATGAAGCATACAGCTTAAATCTAGATTCTGCCAACATGAACATATAATCTGAATCAGGCAATGAGTAGCAGAAAGCAGCTCATCACCGTGGATAAGCAAATGTAGGAACCACGTGGTGTTGTATAGTATAGATGTACTATACAGTGAATACAAAATGTAGTCTGAATAATGCAACTAACTATCAAGTTGGTTAACAAAGTAATACAGAAGTAAGAATTGAAAAAGTGAGGGCAATTGGGATTTTAGCCCTTTAAATCTACATTTGTGATTTGTTTTGTCTCATAAGAATAGATTTATTTCCTTTCAACTGTCCTCCTTTTCTAGACTGTTCCAATGTTCATGACATTGAGGCATGGGCTCCCAATACTGGGTTAATCCACAGAGGCAGCTCTTTAATCATCTTCATAAATTTCCATTTTCAGGTGATGTGCTAGTAATAATAAAAGTATTACATTTAAAATATAGAAATTTGACACTTAAGAAATTGTTTCTTAACAGCACCATTTACACTTTTTACTGAATAGAAAAAGCTAATTTCAACTTGTACTGACATTAATTTAACAGCAGAGACATCTATCATACATACTCACCCTCCAGTTTGACAATATCAGGGCAGTAGAAATGGATCAGGGCTGCTAAAGCACAACCATCTGTACCATCCTTCAGCAGATTTTCTACCAATGGAATGCAGGGCAGCTGCTTAAGCAGTGTTTGCTCCTTCCTGTAACGAGCCTACCACATAGAAAGAAGTGATTAAAATAGAAACAGGCTCAGAAACATATGTGAAAACGGATTTGTACTGAGTTCTATGTTCTTTTAATGAAAACACTGTACAGCAGTCACCCACCACTGTCAGTGGTTACTTTCTGTAGATTAATATTGATGACAAACAAACAGGTAAAATGTAAATAGATTAAAAGAAAATAAGCCTAAAAAGCTAATATTAAAAACTTATTTCAAAACTAACCTCTTAAAAAGTCTTGCAGGTTATGAATAAGCTAGTTCACCCTGGATGCATCTACATGGCCCCCATGAGGCAGTTGTTAGTGGGCCATCATTTGGTATTTGCTTTAGGAAGTACTAAATGACAGTGCAGTAACAGCAGTTACTGCGCTGTCCCAGTGACGCATGGTTATTTTGAGCAGATGCGTCACTGTAGTCACACACTATAGTGAGGTACCTCATTGCTATGGTGATGTAGTGTTGGCATCACGGTTTGTGCCTGCTGATGCTATGTTGCCATAGCAACAATCTATGTTGCTGTAGCACGTCACTACAGTGACAGTGTCATGTGTAGATGTGTCCACTGAAACCAGACAATCCATGTAACACCTTTAAGGAGAATAACCTATCAATAGTTTTATTCAGTTTAGTAAGTATTGAAATAATTAGTTACATGTGGAACATATTGGACTACATCATTAGCTGGTGTAACTCAACCTAGTAATTTGCAAGTCAATTGACTTTACTGAGTTATACCACATAAAGATATGGCCTAATATGTGCTTCACTTATAACAGACTTACTGGCAAGTTTACAGACAAAAAAAATCTGCATTTAATCATTTTCATTATTTCTCTGTCCATACAACAGTACATTTATGAAATAATCATGGTCAATATTACAAAAATAAAGACTGCTACAAAAGAAATGTCTTGAAAACAATTCAACATGTCTGGAGATCATTAATGCTGAGTTTCAAGATGGTATCAATCTGCATTCAATACATTTGAAAGTTTTTTCTTTGGCTCTAAATTGCTATTAATTGTTCTTCATGTCTCTTCTCACCATGCTCTGGGGAGACAGATGAAGGAGTAAAAATACATTTTCTCATGTGTTCTAATTTCTTGATATGACTTACTGACTTGTAAATGTACAAATGGTGCAGGACATGTATATTCTCTCTTCACCTCTCAAAACTAATTATGAGGCTTGACCTAATTCTGTGTTTGCGCAAGCAGACACACTCGTGTATGCATTACACACATATACATGTGGTATGCGTATGGGTGCATATTGATATTTATATACATTTATTTTTATATATATACCTAGGTGGAGTTGGAAGGCTACTTATTGGAGCTCTAAGAATTTCCTCATGCCACACTTTAATACTGAAGGCTGTATTTTGTGATCATAAGACTTTGGTGAAAATGTGATGGACTTCCTTTTGGAACATCAGTGTCCCTCTCTAAGTGGCCGTAATGTAACTTGAGGGTCCACAGGCAGGTGGCACATGATAGAGGGCTTGGAAGGCAAGCTGTATGATGAAAGGTTGAAAGAAACAGTCGTGTTCAGTTTGCTGAAAGAGTGATTAAGGGACATGAAGGCAATCTTCAAAAACATGAAGGTATTTCTCTGTTGCTGCAGAGAGCAGGACACAAATCAATGGCTTGAAATATCCAATCTAAACCTGTTTTACTGCAATCAAGAAAAACTTCTTCACTGTTAGAACAGTGAGGCAGTGAAACAGGCTAGTAGGCCTGCGCGAAGCAGCAAGTATTCAATTTGGATTCGGATTCGGCCAATTCAGAGGGACAGTAATTCGATTTGGTGATTCGAATCACTGTCCTGATTCAGATTCGGAGATTCGGCACCAATTCAGAGATTCGGAGCTGGGCTCAGCCTCTGCTTCTTGTGTCCGTGGCTCGCTGCTGCTGCTTGGCTCCCCAGTGCTGCACCACCTCTGGAGGAGCCGCTGGGCTCTGATTGTCCCATGATCTGGCCTAGCCAGGGCCCCATTTGGAGCCTGGCGGCTCCTCCAGCAACATGGGCAGGCAGCTTCTGCCAGTGCGCACACCGCAGGGGAGCTGGGGGAGGGTGGGGACATTCCCCCTTCTCGTCTCTCCTGCACTATGCCCTGGAGGAGCTGCTGGGCTCTAATTGCCTCACAACCCGCACCAGTCGGGTCCCCATTCATGGTGAATCAGGGCCTGGCCAAGCTGGGTCGAGGGGCAACGAGAGCCCAGCAGCTCCTCCAGAGGTGGCACAGCACTGGGGAGCGAAGGGGGAGAGGCTCGTAGGCCCCAGAGCTTTGCACAGGGCAGGGGTGGGCAGCAGATGGCCTCAGCCTCTGCTCCCTGCGTCCACGTGTCGCTACCACCACTGCTTTGAAAGTGGGGGGGGTGGCATGTTTGTCCTGCTGCTGTGTAGGCTAGGCAGTGAGGCACTGCACCATGCCACATTCAAAGCAGCGGTGACAGCAAGGCGCAGATGCAGGGAGCAGAGGCTGAGCCCACCTGCGGCCTGCCCTGTGCAAAGACTGTCCCACATGCCCCCACCCCTCTTTGCTCCCTGGTGCTGTGCTGCCTCTGGAGGAATCACTGGGCTCCAAATGCCCCACAACCCAGCCTGGCCAGGGCCCGATGCACCGTGAACGGGGTCCTGGCTGGGCTAGGTTGTAGGGCAATCCCCACAATGCAGGAGGGAGAGGGGCAGGAGTGAATGATTTGCCTTGCCCTTATGCCACTCTCGATCTGCCTCCCCCCTCCTTCCCCAACCCGATTAAAAGAAACTTACCTGCCTATGACTGGGCCTGCTGTGATAAAAAGGTAACGAGCTGTGATTAACACCTACAAACCGCACACTGATGAAAGGAAGAAATCAATACCAGCACCAGGAGCTCCTTGAACTCTACTGTCAGTGCAACAAAGTCTCTGGTCTGAGATAATCAAAGCCAGAGACAAGTTACTGAGACTGAATACCACCCGATCGACCGCTCCCAGAGTGCCTATTCATGCCCATGGTCACCCCATGCCCCCTCTCTTCTCAGTTTCTGTTTGCTGCAAGCCTTCCAAATCTCCCCAAATCAATTTGAAGGCTTCTGATTCAATTCAGAGCTTTTAGTGGGTCTCCCGATTCGATCTGGATTCGGAGATTCGGCTTCCAAATCTCCTCAGAATCAAATCGGCTACCAAAGCTTCGCACGGGCCTACTGCCTAATGAAGTTGTAGAATCACCATCATTGGAGGTTTTTAATAAGAGGCTGCATGAGTATTAGTCATATATGAACTAGGAGTAGCTATCTATGCCTGGAGAGCAACTGTTGGAAGTACGGGAACACCCACTTCTCCCCTAAAATCACTGGGAGATGAGAAAAACTCTGAGCTGCAGAAGAGGTAGATATTGGGGAGGACCATGCTCAGCTGGGCAGATCCTGCTGCAGGCAAGGGGACCAGAGTAGCACCAGGAAAAGCCTAACGACTGGAAACTGCACACACTGGATGGGGCCTGGGCCAGCAGGCAGAGACTGCTCCAGTGGAGGAGGGTGGGGCTCGGTCCCACATGCAGTGCCGCAGATGCAACCACAGGCTGGATCCAAGCAGTTGGTGGGCTGGATCCAGCCTGTGGGCCATATTTTGCATACCCCTGAATTAGAGAGTGTGATATATAAAGTTATGTTTACTGTCTTCAGGTTGAATACCAGAATGGAGAGTGGCTGGTTTCTTCCCATGCTTCTAGGATTTCCTGGTTGCCACATGCCTGTCAGGAAGGATTTTTTTCCATTCTTGTTGCTACAGGTTTCAGGCTGTTTCTTACCCCCCTTCCCTCCTCAGAAAAACATTTGGTGTTGGCTGTAGCCAAATTGGGAGTTTTTTGACCAGGGTGTGCCAATGCTCCTGCTGGGATTAAGTCTGGAGGTTCCTGGCTAGCCTAATCACCACATTTTGGATCACAAAGGAATTTTACTTCATGATCACACTGGTACATACTGTGGGGATTTTTCCTTCTTCAAACAGAGAAAACAGCCCTCTTCCTTGGATCTTTTGAGTGTGTTTTAAGAAAACTTGCAATGAAAGTACACCGATTCCGGCAGGTTAGGGTTATTTAGCTGTTTTTGGGCAACGTGCCTGGTAGTTGGGTTGACTGTGTAGATTTAGCAATAGGTTAGATAAGGAATTTTGTAGAATAGTTTGAATATGGAGGAGTCTGCCTTGAGCAGAGGGTTGGACAGGGTCACCTCCAGTGGCCCCTTCCATCCCTATCTTTTCTATGATTCTATGCTATGTTGAAATTTTGAAGAACTTTTATAAAGGCTTTTGCAAAATGTGGCAATTAACATGACCATAATGATAAAGTACACATTAACAGGCATATAGTATGTTTAATCACATAACTGTTACAGCACTGCGTTTAATAACAGCACTGAATGTGTACAACATTTCTAGGGACTTGTATTCATTACTGTAATTAAAAGTTGTCACATTCAAGTTACTCTACTTGACCTGGCCTAGTGAATGATAGTAACCTGCTAGCTGCACAGAATTATGACATTAACAGACTGATTGTATTAGCAGTTGATTATTTGTAGCAATTCCCCTGCTGAATTAAAAGCTTTAATCTGTAGCCCTTCAGCTTCAACCTGTGCTCCTGACAGAACAGCTAACATGAATTTAAATCACTTAACTTGAGCTTCAATTTTTTGAGTACTTACAACAATAAAGTTAAAAGGTAAAACTCAAGTCATAGTTCAAGATAACAATGTAGTAATGACAAACCCTCATATACTGTGGGAAGATCATCAGTAAATAAATACTTTATTGTTCTTTTACTACTACTCTTGTTTAAAGTACAATATGTAACATGAAAGGAAATGTATTTTATTTTTGTAGTCTGGTGGTGACCACACAGGACTGTCTTTTTCTTTCCTTTCTTGGTCATATGGCCCTCTCAATTTTCAAACAAAACTGAAAAGATACTATTCTATCCAGACTACACATTCTCTGTTTCAATAGATGTAGATCACAATAAAGGAAGTGAAGAGTACAGTGAAATTGCATGCAGCTGAAAGATTCTTCTGGATTTGAGTTGGATCCACTAGAAACAGAATTTGTGAAGCAGCTGCCCAGCTCATTTTTTTATTCTCATAAACACACACACAATCTTCTAACTAACATAAAAAGCCATCTGAGGGACCGGTAGTGTGCTACAGGGTAATCTTTGGACTGAAGGTAGATTATAAGTACCTCTTTGAACTTACTTCAGAAGTAACCTCTTCAGAACAAAATTAGGTGTCTGATATTGCATTTACTTGAATACTTCAAGATTTAGTTCACATATAAAGAACATATTCATGCAAGCAGGAAGGGCTTATTTCCCCCTACTGTTAAAATATGACAGTCAAGCGGACACAATCTAACTGCACACACTTTAGGTGCAAGCTACCATCATATAATAAAGGAAAATGACAATCATCTTCAGAAGAGGCAGAAGAGAAACTGACTGAGGTATTAAGTGCAGACTCTTTTAAACTAAACTATAGAATTTTTCCGAGATAATGTATATGTATGATCATCTTTTGCCACCCTAAATACATATATTTAATAGAAAACTGAGCTAAACTAGAGCAAATGGAGTATGTGGCAACTGCATGTTGTTAATGAAGGTCTGAAAAGTTCTAGTGCAACTTCCTAACAACAATAAAAAAGTGTGTTTTCCCTTCCAGGGATGGCTACAGCACGTACTAAATGGAAGTTTACCCATGAACAAGGAAGACTAACCCACTAGAGTAAAAATGCTTTATATGCTGAGCTAAAGTTTGAGGAGGCAGCCTACTACACCCTAAGATATAAAACATATCCACATCAGGTGCACAGTTTCCCAAATAATTTCTGAGATCTAACAACA